CAGTGGAGAGGGGGTGCTCAGCCTATCAGAGGAGGGAATGCACCAATCTGAGGAGAGGGGGTGTTCAGCTTGTCAGAGGAGGGAATGCACCAATCTGAGGAGAGGGGGTGCTCTTTCTGTGCTCTCCCTGCTTAACCAGTGACGTGGGGAGGCAGGAGACGAAGAGAACCTCAAAGTGACCAATGACTGAAGGCATAAAAACCACATCAGGCCTCGTAATGATCTTTCCACAGCCCCGACTGCTAAAACATGACACTTTATGCTGGATCTTTATGCCTTTTTTTCATATAAATCTACAAGACAGCCAATCTGAAGATTATATCCACACCTTAATAGTCCCAGTAATTCAAAAGTTCTTTAGGTCGGGGGGTGCGGAGGTGGCAGATCTCCTGATAAATTAACTGCAGTATGCTCGTGTTTGACATGCGTTTTCACTCATTATACACTGGCGGAAAATCCAAGCAACACCTTAGTGTGATAAAATGAGAGACGGCCTGCAAGGGGTGCATTGGATATGCATCAACCTGTGTAGCGTGTCTTTGCATTAAAAAAAAATACATTAAGGCGAAAAATGAATTTATACCTAAAGATCAATTTATAAGAATGTGGGGGCTGTAAGCAAAAACCTAAATTAATATTGGAAAAGTGAAACGGGAACTGCAGCTTGCCGAACGGGCAAACTGAGCAGTATACTGACAATATGTGTGTCGGAGATATGTGAAAGTGTTCATATCCAGAATGATATGGGTACGAATCCCATGCCATGCAGAGTCATTATATCAACATTGAACTCTTTAACTCAACTGATCCTACACCCTGGCTCTAATTAAATATTTCCTCATTGTACAGTAGAGGTCAAAAGTCTGGCTACACATACTGACAACCATTGTGTAATGACCCCAAGCATCGAGGTGATGTAAGTACTGAATTATCTTGTGAACAAGGAAAGAGATGGAGTGCTGTGACAGATGACCTGCCCCCCACAATCCAACTTAAACCCTATACAGCTGCTTTGGGATGAATTGGATTGGAGAGTAAGAGCAAGGAAGCCAACTTGTGCCCAGAAATTGTGGAAAGTCCTTCAGGACTATTGGAGAAGCGTTTCAGGTGTCATCAGAGCAAAAAGGGGCTGTTTTGAAGAGGCTACAATCTGAGAAAATTTTGAGATGTTGAACACGTCTCTTGGTTGTTGCAATATTTGTTATGTCATACTTTTTATTGCCTTGAGGCCTATAAGGTGAGTGACATAGCTGAAATAGAAACAGATGCATTAAAAGCAGGTGCATCCAGACTTTTAACTGGTACAGTATGTTACTCTTGTAAAAGCATCTGCCAAACATGAAAGTTTAAAACACCACAAACGTCTTTGTATTTTACAACAGTAAGTGTTTAGTGGCTAGAGAAACAGGCAAAGGGGTATAAAGAAGGGAAGCGATTTAAGCTAATATTTGTTTGCTGTAGAGCAAGTAAACAGGCAGAGATGTCGGAGAGGCTCTTTGCTGCGTTATGTAACGTTAGCGTGTCTGAAGCTGACAGCGTACGGGGTGTAGCTTAAAACAGACAGTCCCTGTTGGCATTATCTCTGGATCAGATGAGAGTTATTATCATAACTCATTAGAAAATAGCCAAACTATAAAAAGAGGAACTGAACCTGTCCCGGTAATGACAGACTAATTTACCTTCCTTCTCTGACAGCTCAGCTCACAGAAGCTATAATTGGTCTTCAGCAGTGGATGATTTTTGTTACATTTACATTTATTTCGCAGATGCTTTTATTCAAAGTGACGTACAATCGAGAGAGCAGGGTCAACCAGTCCTTGGGTTATTTTGGGGTTAAGGGCCTCGCTCAAGGGCCCAACTGCGACGTGACTCTGCCGACCATATAAGGATGTGTCAGGTAATGATGTTTTAAAGCATGATAATCAGCATGGATTCTGGGGAAGTAGCTGACAGGATTTCTAATGCACATAGCAGACAAAAACATACAGGACTGTTAGAACTGGTTAGCAAACAGGAAAAAACGAAAGTCTTTGGGTAACACGTTAACGTCCTAGTAACTAGTTCCACTGTAACCAGTAGTGTTACACTGACTTCTGTGTGGGTTAATTATATGCAAATTGACAATATCAGAGATATGTGAAAATGTTCAGGCCACAATGAGAGTTGATGGAGGCATTCCAGAATGTATAACTGAAGACCTATGTGCTGCTAGGGAGGGGGCAAACCCCCCCACGCGCACACACACACACACACACACACACAAGAAACTCAGCGCAAAATCATCAAAGGGCTTAGCGTAAGAATCTGTGACTTTGAAAATCAAGGGGATAGAATGTGTTGAAAATGCTGCAGTACGACCTCCAATATCAATTCAAGTGAAGTGGGACTTCACTGTCACACCAACCGTATTCAGTACATAGAATATGGTAACACGAAATAACATCAGACCATGGTGCTACTTAATTACATGTAGTGCATAGAGAGGACAAATGCAGAGGGAACATATTAACAATGCTGGCACACAATGTTGAAATAAACGCTGATGGGATGTTTCAAATGGGCAATGATGGAGTAGCAGAGTGGTACGTAGGAGTAAATCAATAACAAGATAATATTAAAGATAAATCTAGGAAACAGTGCAATAATGGTGCAAATGGCAATAAAGTAGCAAAAATTACTGCTGGATGGCAGAGTTAGTGTAAAGTTCACATCTGTGGGGAGGGGGGGCAGCAAAGAGCTCAGAGTCAGGTTGTCCATGGGGAAGAGGCTGTTACAGAGTCTGACTGAACTGGCTCGGAGGCTCCAGAACCTTCCGCCAGACAAATGGGGGACAAAGAAACTCTGGGAAGGGTGGGAGGCGTCCTCCACGATGCTGGAGGCCTTTGTGAGTTTGGCATTTGACGCTGAAAAGGATAATCCTGGAGGACCCGGGAGAGATGGGGCAGCAGATTCAACCGGGAACAACATGGAGAGATGAAATCTTCTCAGGCTGCAATGGAGGACGTGCTCAGTGAACAAAGTTCAGGGAGGAACAAATGATACTGACCACAAGTCTAATGATGTTAGTTTTAGATTTGGTAATGGGTACTAATGAGGAGTTTCGACCATGACGAAAAGGTAGGATGGATGGATTTGATTGGCCCAGCTGCTGTTAATGCATTTGATTCTGTTTTATACAATATCTTATTATCTCTTGTTCATGGTATTGTAAAAGGCCTCAAGGCAGTGAAGTAATACATATCCAACACTGTAAGCACCCCCCCTTTCATTGCGATGACAGCGCTGCAGACTCTTGGCAGTCTTTCAAGCAGCTTCCCGCTGCAGACTCCCGGAATGCGTCTCCATCAGTCCCCAAGGAGCCCTGGGCAGACGCTGGCTACCGTGCTTTTATTCTTTGATCCAGCTCATCCCAAACCAGCTATATAGGGTCAGATCAGGGGATTGTGCGGCCCGGACACCTGTCGCCGCGCTCAGTGTAATTCTCATAAAATTTGACTACGTTTTTGGGTACGGTCCCCTTTTTGTTCATAAATTTTTACATTCTCTTGATTCTGCTGCATCACTATCATGCACATTTTCACAGTCCATTGACCACATGCAGTAATATACGTTTGAGTGCCAATATTTGTAAAATTAATTGAAGGTATATGGCCTGTAAATATGTCCTCATTGATTCGCCAGCCTGCAGCTGAAACGTGGCCACTCTGCTCAGGGGAGGGTTGATTGCTTCTGGATCCCCCTTTGAAAAAGTCCCCCTCCCCTCCATATGTTTCAAACATTAAACAAATAGCTAGCAAATACAGTCATTAAATGGCAACTAGCTGGCTGGTTAGTGGAACATGCTGCTTCAGCGTGTTCTAAATAAGGAGCAAGTTCATTTAATAGTAAGTGTAGTGACTGTTTGTGGCCAACAGGGGGCATGGTTTGCGTGGTGATAAACACCACCACTGCTCTCTGGGTGAAATACCAAACTTAGGTATTCGAGGTTGGCGGAGAAAGACGTTGGTGCTTCTGGGTCTCTAGCCTACTCGGTGTGTGAAGATTATAGCGGGTTACGTCTATCACCAGAAGCAGGGGCAGATTAAGTGAATTGCCATGGTGAATCGTGGTTATCCGCCTCCCCTTCCTGTGCCTCGTATGAAGCTGTCTCCCCTTCGAAC